GAATATTATCAATACCATTATAAATAAATAAAAATGAAAAATTACTAAATAAATATGTTTGTATTACTCTGCCCAAAAGACAATATGTATATTGCCCGGTTAATTTGAATAATTATTATTCTCCCTCTCTCATGTTGGGCATTTTCATAATGGCCGGGCATTATGTATAATGCTCAATTTATCACTTGGTCCGTAACATATACATCCAAAAGTGTTTCTTTAAGTAATAGACACCTGATCTAAAACTGTACCTAGTGGGGGTGAAGGACGGGGCGGTTGAACTGGCGTTGTCGATGGCCTTTTGTTTTAAAGAAGCAATCCATGTTTATTAAATCTAATCACAAATTATTTTTTTGTAATATTATTTCAAAACTATGTTTAACAAAACACTCGGTTGGTACCTATGATACTAATTGTAAAGTCAGGTGTATTAAACTTTAATTTTAATTGATACACAAAATAGAACAAATAAAAGTAAATATGATTTATTTATTATCACTAGCAGACAAATTTAACTTTCCTTATTTGGGTCTGGGTGTTCTTTTGTGTGTATGGCCATAGCCATATCGATCGATACTGGATATTTTAGTGGAGGCTTATTTTTACAAAAACACGATGATAAGAACGATTGCATATATTTTTATATTACAGACTGAAAATAAAATGCTAAACTTAAAAAAGATGTTTGCCATAAAGGATGAAATGAACTTCTTGTTTGTAACCCATTGAAAAAGATTAATAATTAAAAATGAAATAGAAAGAGTTTGTCGCCCCTTATTCTCATTTAATATTTTTGGAAGTTTATGTTGAACTTTGACAACTTGGAAAGTGTTCATAACCCCTGCCGCCATTTGAAACTCGACGAAAAATAAGCCTAGTAACATGAGTAGGTATATATTACTTCTTAATTCAATTTATGCCTCGCATTTCAGCTGCTACATATTTACTATTCGTTTCGGACAAATATCATGCAACCATAAAAAAGACGTCTTTTGGTAGGTTATCCGACTGTCCTTTTACAAAACCCTGAATATTATTTGCACGAGTAATTAACTTTTATAGTAGTATTTTGATGTGTTGGTATGACTCATTAAAATTTGAAAATATGTTGTTAAAAAAAATGTAAAAGAACAAATTTTCATCTTTATTAAAAGTTTAAATATCTGTTAAAATATTTCTTTCGGTTGTTTAGTTGGATTGCCTGAACAATGATGAAAACACGATAATTCTTAAAATCGATCAAATAATAAGAATGAAAAAACCAAGAAAGAAATTTCATTTTCACCATCCACAAATTTACTGAAACATTGTCGCGTCGACAAGTTGTCTACACAGTTTATTAAAAAATCGCTTCTCGCTGTCTGTACGCTATTGCGGTTTTCACTAATATACAGAGTGATTAAAGAGGAAGGTTTATTTTATGTAGAATATAGGACCAAGAGAGCAAAGCCTAATTATATATAATAATATACAATTTTTAATCAGAAAGTCAAATTAAATAAATTTTAAAATGACAATGAAACTGAAAAAATAAGTGAATTTATGATGTTATCATAAGGGGAATCGAACCCACGACCATAATATCACCAAACCGAGCTGTTATCGCTGTACCAACCGCAGTTTAGCAAAGCAAACATGCTAAGCGTTTATTAGTATAAAAATTCGCTAATATGTTTATTCAGGGTTTAGAAATATCTGTATAGAAAAAAATCATCAAAATTCGTTCCAAAAGTAGTAGTCTAAAGAGTAACAAACAAACATACATTCTCACGAATTTTCGTAGTAATAGTAGGTTATGATTGAACGAATTATGATCACAGATAGTGCTTTAGAAATTTTTCAGTATTTTTCCGTCTTTTGTAGCATCTTTAAAATAAGATTTGACCGTTTAGGGAAAATCCCGGCTTCGAATTATCTTGGTACCTGACACATTTGTTTTTTATCAGATATTTCTTAAAAAAATTGACTACAATATTTATCTTCTCAGTGGAAATTACGTGCGGTCTAACGTCAGAAAGTAAATAGATTCATAGCAATGAAAGCATTGTTTTTTGTAGTTTAATACTACTAGCCAATATGATTATGTGGCAGGCGGGCGGGCGCGCCTGCGTCTCTATATTTAACTAGCTAGGGCAACGGCGGCGGCGCGGGGCGGCTGCTGCACCATGCTTTGACCATTCAAACTATACTATAGAGAAACCATGTTATTTGAGAATTATTTTAATTTGCAATTGATGAAAGGACGTTATAATATATAATTTTGCCATTTAGATTTATTATTTATGATATTACATTGAATATTTATTTTAAAACGAAAGTTGAATGGCCTTATAAATACGCTATATAACTATAGTAGCTATATGAACGACATGATTCCTAATACACAACATTAAGAAACTGGTAGGAATTAATTTGGCTGGGTTCAAAATCCGTAAATAGATAATACCTATAATTCTTTCTTTTCCTATGCATACCATTATTAGAAATACCTCAACATACTTTTCAAGCTATTAGTAACATCGAAATACTACAAAATCAATATCAAAATATTAAAATTTTGATATATAAGATTATTTTTATTTTATTCTGATACTAATTCATTACATAGAGAATAATCAATAGAATGTGAAAAATTCTATAATGGTCTACGCGTGCCTAGTAGCCTGCGTAATTGGTGACAAAGTATATTGTGGGTGTGATAGTATACTTTGGTAGATATATAGTCAAGCAGAGCTTGTGAATATTTGAGGACGCGTCGCGTCAGTAACTGCCGGATACCGGTTGCACACGCAATGAATGAACTATTCTGTACTAGATAACTGTTTCATGTCTGATGAACTAAATATGGCTCACCTACGCAATCAACCACGTATACCTATGTTTTCATGAATAATCAATGCATTTGTATTTGGTTCTTTATGAATGACGAACGACATAATATTATATGACTCAATATGTTTAAAGCGATTTGCGTGACGCTGCTTCGTGGAACAGTAGCTTTATACGAATGTATTAGTGTTAATCTGAAGCCAGCACGCATTCAGTACAGGTTTAAGGTTGAACAGTGTCTAATTGAGCATGCTATATGTAATAGGTCAAATGTCTAATGGTAAGATGATGAATGAGAACCAGAATATTTATACCGATCAAGAAATAGTTTTTTTCTGTTGCATACTAATAATTTTAGGCAGCGTGTTTTATTATTCCATGTAACTACGTCGCTATTTTAGCTGTGGCCAACTCATTGTTTACTCGCATATATTATTTATCACTCGGCAAATATTGCACAAGCAAGCACGGTGCTTTTTACTTTTTCACGTAAGCATAATCTAGGTCAATAGGTGAGAAATTGTATTGTTATGAGAACTAAAAAATCTTTTTATTGTTTTCAAAGCTGAACTTGTGTTGCATTAAATATATAGCTACAGTCATAAACTTTGGTTTTTATTTAAAGCTAACAATATACTATTTAAAATAACGTAGGAAACTTTCTGTTTACTTTGCATTTTCTTTGCTCTATACTGCCACACTTTCGATTCGGAGTCCAAATGAAAGAAAATAATTTAAAATACATTATTATATTTTATCTATTTCGCATTAATAATGCAATACTGAAAAATATTCTTAATTAAAAATGAAAAATAGGACCAAGTGGATTTTTTCATAATTTTTTATTAAGAATATTATAACACGTTTTTTCACATGAGGATCACATTAATCTATCGCTAACAACATTGATGAGATGTTAATTTAAGGTAAATGTTAATTTCATATTTCATTGGTAATTTCATATATCACTAATCAATTAAATAGAAATTATACTTGAGTATTTTTTATTAAATCAAAGGTTTTCTGTTTTGAATAATATGAAAAAACAATTTTAAAATTTAAACATACTTAAAAAAACGTACATGGACGGATAGACATACATACATATACACTTAAAAAATTTAGCACACATATGTACTCATACAGAACAACATACTTATGAATATTACGTCATTCTAACGAATATACACCTCGAATTAATAACCTTCTTCTTTTTTTTAAGTCGGTTAAAATGTGACACACTTATTTAGAAGCCCATATAGACTAACTTTAATGAATATTGTGCCGTATTCCTATAAAATTAATAGCCTCATTGCTTTTAAGAGCGTTTAAAAACGTACGGGTCAAATTGATAATTACTTTTTTAAGTCGGGTAATGACGTAGACATAAACAGGTAAATATATGGCCTCCTTATTTGAACTCGATTTACAAAAAGTTCATTAACTTTACTCCATTTTAAGTCTGTTAAATTTTTTCTACTTTTATTAGTAGCATTAAAATTTTTTGTTAATTTATAACTTTAAAACTACTGAACCTATTTTCATGAAACTTGTAGTATACCCTAAGTTGAAATCCGACATCCAGTTTGCGAGATATCCGTGGACAAACATACATACATACAAACATACGTGCACACAAACATACATACACACAAACATATATCTATAAAATTTTGCACATGTGTTTAGAAGCTCATACAGACCAACATAAATGAATATTACGCCATTCCAACGAAATTACATACATACACATCGAATTGATAACCTCCTTTTTTTAGGTCGGTTAATTACTTAAATATACTAGGATAAGGTTGACCCAATATTGGGCTAACAAATGACAGTGGCACAGTGATAAATTAATGTATTTAGTGATAAATAAATGTGTCTGTTTACATTTTTTATATTCGTACATATTATTTTATATCTTACATAATCGCGTTGATGTTATTATAACGGTAAAGTTTAAGTCACTTTGTATACAATAATTTTCTAAATATATAATATAATCCCGAATTTCGTGACTGTGCTTTTAATCGTGATTGTTTGATTAAAAATAATAATTACGCATTCTCTCCCAATGAATCAGTGTGGAGAATGCCACGGCCATGTAAATGTATATATTTTCGTCGTGGTTTCGTGAGTTGGCATCAGTAGAGAGCAGTGATACTGACCGCCGTCGGCATAAGTTTCTGAGCCGTATCCGTCCTGGAGTCCATTAGCCCAGGTGCCCTCGTACTTAGCGTTGCTGGTGGTGCTTTGCCGCACCCCGTAGCGGCCTTTGTAGCCTTGCGTCCATTCGCCACGGTACAGCCACCGGTCCCTCGTCTCCACGCCCAGCCCATGCCGCTTGCCATTTTGCCACTGACCCTCGAACGAACTGCCACTGTAATAAAAATTAAAAACATTTTATTGACTATTTGACGACTAAAAGGAGGGTTACGATTTGTTCATGTACGATATACGTTGATTGAGTTCCTAAAATACAAACGCGGTATAGGTGAATTCATGTAAAGGTACAGTCAATTAAATTCATTTGAAAAAAAAAGTAGATATGAAGTTGTTCCACAGCATCTGATAGAGAATGTAAAATGTGCAAATATAAGCCTAAGTTTAAATGTAATCTATCAACCCTCGGGGGTAAGTTTTGCATCGAGTCTTAAATGTATTTTTGTTAAGTAATAAATAGCTTACTCCCGTCGTTGAATAAATAACTATCATACTGAATTCACTCTGAAAATTCATATTTTCTTACCCAATAATTCTTACTTCAACAGGTTAGTAACTAGAAATTATCTATATAAGTCTGTTATTCAAAATTCTGTTCAAATATATTTTAAAAAGTATTTAAGCGGAATTTGGAACGATTGTTGATTTTTGTGTCTGAAGTACGAGTAGATTTAACGCGTTGAAATGTAATGATAAAAAGAAAGCTCAGTGATTTTCCATATTTTCCTCGTAAGTGTAGTAAAATATTATGTAAATCTCGTGGGTGATCATTACTTAGAGGTTCACTAAACGAGTACAGCGACAAGACAGTAAATGACCCAAGAGTGTAGCTGTTTTACGTATTGATGAGATTAGTCACTTCATTTCCCTACTAATAAAATGAGTCAGTCATGTCATGAAAGTCACTCTATAAAATTAACAATAAAAAGAAAAGGCTGAAGATTAACTGGACATGCATAATTAAAATATTTTACTATTTATTACATTACGAATACAGAAAGCTTTGAACTAGAAATTTTATTTTACAACGATACTTGAATACAGTGAATAGACCAAACTGAAACAAATCGTGATTGGTATGCTGTCAGTTGATCTGTCATCAGCTTAATTTTGACAGATCAATTAGGGCTAGAGTTTCAAGGTACCACAGGTAAACTCGATAAAAAATGAAGTGGAGGGAAACAGTGAGTTTAGTAAACAAATCGCAGTTTTGAGAACTGTCTCGTCCCACTGCTCGGCCAAAACGCTCGTCAGTATTATGTACGTGGCCAAAAGTACTGTTTGGCCACTGTACTTGCTACGTGTAATCAACCCTTTAAAAGCGTTTACTCCCTTTCTATTAGGCTCAAAAAACAATAAACGCGATGTATATTATAAATTAATTTGAAACAATTTTGTATTGAGGTTTATAGTAGTTTTACATCAAAAATTTATTTGAAAATAAAATTATAACGTCATGTTTTTAATAAAATGTTTCAGATAGAAAAAAATCATAAAATTGCCACATCTTTTTTTCTATTTCTTGTTTTAATTATACCCATTTTATATGAAAATTTTATAAATATGTGAGTAACTTTGTACCCGAGGGAATCGTGTTTTACAGTTATTGTAAAATTTACGAGTAATAAATAATAATAGTTTTCTGCCAGGCAACCTTCATGTATGGAAATTTATGAAGATACAATTAAATTATCAGCAGTGCAAACGTAACACAAAGTAATCAGGTATACAGACAAAACGAAAGGTAGCATATGTTGAAATAACAAAACTAAGATGTACAAAACGTGAAAGCATACTAGCGACAAACAAAGTGCGGCTAGTGGGGGAGAATAGAGAAAAAAAAGAGAAAGGACGAACAGGTAGATTAATCTTCAGACCGGTATAAATATTTTACCAGCGATTTGAAAGAATCTGAAGACTTTGCCTGGCGGTTTGGTTCAGGTAAGGCCTTCCAGAGTTTGGTGGCCTGTAATGTAAATGAATATTAATATCTACTTATATATGTCACATTCATTACAAGCGGTGGGCGAAGTCAGAAGATTTTAATGTAATAATTTCTGAATTTAAATTTAGTTGGAGAAGTTTTAATATATTATGAAGCGAGAATGGTTTTGAAATAAAACCTGTGCGGTGAAAAGTTAAAGGGTAAATAGCGAGAGTTTCTTCGCTCTCTGAGCGAAGGTAGTGGCTGTGTAAAATGTCTACATACTGAAACTTACATTTCAAATATCCAGCCGCACATGGATCTTTAATGTTAGAATAAAGAGTAGAAAGCAATAGTAAGCCATTTTAACTACTTCCTTAAAGAAAATACATGATCGAATTTACGAAAAGAGGAAAATAAAACGTATGTATACAATTATTCACTAATCGAGGCAATTTGTTGAGAAGAACTAAACTTATTTTGAAGTTATTTAAAAAAATGTCTTAAAACTATTGTCGTTGACCAAAGTAGTAAGATTATATTGAAGTATAGATAATATTTAATTATATATTTATAAGAGTAATATTACTAAATTCAATATTGACCCTATTATTGAAATTTCAGATAGCTTAATTTATTGTATTGGTATATTATATTTAAAAAATTTAGGGTGTGTTACAGGACTAATAAGACGCTAGAAAAGTCCTGAAATAGGACAAGCGCCTTTAACTCTTGTCGCTTAAGACCCTCCGCTTCGCTTTATCTTGGAGTAAAGTTAAACAAGAGATATAACCATACTTAGCACTACAATTATTAGTTCTAAGGCGGTCCGAAGTTTTCAGGGTCTACTTGACCCTGAAAACTTTAAGATAAAATATAGTGTGTTTTATACCATGTTTTTAAGACATACTCATTTGTTCCCATAATAACTAGAACCCCACTGAAATTCTTCTTGTTTACGTGGGTCTCCATTACTGAAGGTTTGCCGTCAGTTTAACAAATTCGTCCCAGTGAAAATAATCTATTCTATAATGTTTCGCAACCATGATATTTTTCTTCTACTAACGCTTCGTTTCTTTTTTTATTATTTTTTCGACCATTATGAGCGGAAGAACCTGGTACCTCTCATGCCTTAAAACATTGTGTTGTAATGTTACCTTGTTTATTACCTCCATAAAAATATTTCATAATATTTTGAGAAAATACTTTATATATTTGATATTGCATAACTCTTAAAAGCGTATTAATTATTAATTTTTGTTTGGTAACATCAGAAACATGGAAATCATCATCAATTCAGTGTTAAAATGTTTGATAATCTAAATAGCATCGCAATCTCGTTTGTATTCGAATATACACTTACAGGCTTATACTTATAGCTTGCTTTTATTTGAAATTGTAGATTTTTAGATCTTTTATTTTCAGATTATTATTTGTAGGCATATTAATGATTTAAACCCGGTTTCTGAATGAAGAATTTGAAGTTGAGCCCGTCTCAAACTGTGCTTAATCCATTTAAACGCCAATTAAACAGGTTTTCATTACTAATTTATAATTTCTTAATGATCAGTTGATAGCAATTTGATAAAACTAGGACTTTTTGCCATAAGTTATTGAGAACAATCAGTTGAGATTTTGTGCTATTCTCAATTCAGAAACCGGCAGTTAGGCGCCCAATCAAGTTTATTGTTCAAATATTTTTATTTTCAGTAGCTAGGAAATAACACGTGCAGTATATTTGATAGGAGATTGCCCGGTTTCTAAATATAATGATACTACGATATATGTACTCGTATAGTCAGAGCTCAAAATTCCTTTCAGTTTTTATAGTCGCGTAAGATAATGGAATGGTCTGTTCTGCACATGAGATCGGTCGGAACAACTCGAGTCTAACCTCTATTTATAACGCGTCGGTTACACACTGCGGTGCCGTAACTGAATATTACAAGTAAAACCAACAGACTTTAGCTGCAAAGAGTGTTGACCTTGACGACAAGGTCGGCGAAGCTTGTTAATTCTTTGTCGAAAACCAGTTAATTAATGTTGCCTTTGTTAATATAATTTTTTAAATAGGCATTTTAGGGTTATAATTTTCTTTATCGAACTTAATTTGCATAAGATATTCTTCTACAGCCATTGTTTGAAAGTTTTAAGATAATTTGCTTTCATTTAATTTTATATATTTCTAGCTAAATAAGTGACATATACGAGGGTCAAACTGAAAGTTCTTAGAAAATCAAAAACTGATTACATTAGCCAGTTATTAGTTTTATTATATCTTTTCAAAATATTGTCCATTCACGTCAATACACCGCTGCATGCGATGGAACCACTGGGAAAAGCACTTTGCCCACTCGTCCTTAGGGGTCTCTTCAATGGCATCGCGATACGCAGCCACCGCTTCTTCAGCATTCATAAACCGCTTTCCTTTAAGTTTTTCTTTAATTTTTGGAAATAAATAAAAATCACAAGGCGCGAGGTCGGGGCTATACGGCGGGTGACCCAGTAATTCAACGTTTGATGTCGCCAAATAGTCGATCGTTCGCTTGGCGGTGTGCGACGAGGCGTTGTCGTGGTGAAGGAGGATCCTACTGCGAGGTCGTTTCTCTCGAACTTTTTCCAAGACAAGTGGCAAACAATTGGTAGTGTACCATTCTGCAGAAACTGTTTTTTGATCCTCTAACACAATTGTTGCAAAATGACCTATCCTTCCAAAGAACGAGGCCACCATTTTTTTTCCCGCACTTCGATCTCTCTTCACTTTAGTTGGCAACTCCTCGAAAGGAAACACCCACTGAGCAGATTGTCTTTTGGTTTTAGGATCATAACAGTAAATCCAGCTTTCGTCACCTGTTAGTATGTCGAACACAGCATTTGAGTCACCTCCGTTAAATCTTTCAATCATTTTACGACACCAATCCACACGATGGAGTTTTTGAGCCTCAGTCAAATTATGAGGTATCCACCGGGCGCAAAGCTTCCTGACCGCTAAATGTTCGTGGAGGATTTTGTGCACTTGACTCATACCGATGCCTAAGCTTGTCCGAATCTGTTGATAGGTCACTCTTTTGTCAGTCTCTATCATACGCCGCACAACACAGATGTTATCTTCAGTCGTCGCCGTAGAAGGCCGTCCCTCACGTAAATCATCAGTGAGATTAGTGCGACCACGTTTAAACTCATTAAACCAGTTGTAAACAGTCGCACGAGATGGGGCTTCATCGTGAAAGGCC